TACTGGCGCTCAACAACATCACACATGTGCACTTTATAGAGACAGTATGTCGACACTGCTTGCTCTTGACAACATAGTCACGCCTTCCCGCTGATCATACGACTGCAGCATATCCTAAAGATAATCGGCACGCATATGTTGACCTAGTATGGATTAAAGCCCATGCAGGTAACATGGGTAATGAGACAGCGGATGAACTCGCTAAAGAGGCTGCTTCGAACCAAAATGCCAGACCGACATCAGTATCAGCACCACCATCTTTCCTCAAAAGTCAACTGTGAAATGCCGCTATCCAGTGGTGGCAAAGAGAATGGGATCAGGGTGACACGGGAAGGAGAGCGCATAGCTTCTTGCCAAAAGTAACCACGGAGCACCTTATGGCAATTGCTCCCCTTACCAACTTCGTTACTGGTCATGCTCCCTTCCCGGATCACTTCTACCGCCGCACCATCTCAACCACGGATCGCAGTGTTTGCGGGGGTGAGGGGTCACCGGACCATTATATCTTTCAGTGCCACTCACGGAACAGTTCCACTTCCCAATACCAGCCAATATCTCAGCATTTCACAAGTTCCTAGCCAAAAACAGAGCGGCCATAAATAAAATCTGCAAAATAATAACCACCATTGCAGCATATGGCCAGGACCTCTGTCAACCAGAGTAATAGGGCTTACATGCATTACTTGCACTGACATATGCACTCTAATGCTCTACCATCTAATCTCTGACTGCATAGGGACCAGAAAAAAAATGAACACCATTTTTAGGTGTTTAATTTTCTTCTTTTGTTATAACCTATTAAGTGTTTTTTTTTTCGTGCCTGTATGTTAATTCAAATGTACTTCAAATGCCAGATGTTAAACAGTTGGCCCTGTATGGCCATGTATCCACACTTATAACTATTAAATAAACTCCAGGGAAGGACGCGGGACATATGCCTGTTAACCTCTGTTAAACTTCAGGCGTCCTCATCCTCCGTCACGTGTCACCTGTACACAACAATTCTCCTTTAGATCTATCCATAATTTTTAAGCTCGCCTTGCAGAGGGCCATCTATTATTTTTAATTTTACGTTAGTTCTTTCACTAACTCTTGAACAGGCAACATAAAGGTGTTGTGTTCAAATGCAGGCTTAGGTACAAAAATGCCAACACGTGTAAGCGTTTGGCCTTGATACTTATTGATGGTCATAGCAAAGGCACGTTTTACATGAAATTGTCTTCGTCTCAATTGAAACGGTAAACCTGTACCGTGTCAACTTCACCCCATTGGCTAGTACAATTACGCAATAAACTAGTAAACTATCAGCGAAAAAAAGACACTTCAGCCACATATAATGAAGATAATTATTTATTGCATTTTATTCGTTTATTTACATCGTTGCCGGTTTTGGCCGGTTGCATGTTTCTGAATTCTATTATATATAGATGTTAATTTTTATTATGAAAAGATAAATGCACGAGCTCTTGTATTTTGAATTTTTCCGACTTAGCTTTGTCATAATATTCGTCACGCGCTGAACTGCACAGGGAATAAAACAATTACAGTTACGCAAGAAACCAATAAACTATCGGCCACAAACACTTAAGCCACTTATATATTTATTTAGAAATAGATAAATTTCATAAGAGGAATCTTTCTTACTTTATCTGCGCTGGTGTGCAGAGGGTAAGCCATTTTTTTCCCCTTTTGGCCGTACCTTCGCAAACAAGTAAGTCGGAGATATGAAATTCACACTATAGCGGACACAATATAGTACCTAAAAGGGATGAAGTTATAGAAACTCAAAAAATTGAAACCGTGACTACAGAACAGAGCGAATAGAAAATGTCTGACTTAAGGAGAAACCAAAAAGACGTTATCTTAGGAAGTAGCCTCCTTTGGCTGCAATGAATTCGTTGCACCGTCTGTTGATACGGACTACAACATGCTCTAGCCGTTACATAGGGTAACATTTTCGATTTTCGAAGAAGCATCTGGTCCATTTGCCCGGGTGAGGCGTCGGGAGGCTAAAATCATCATGACAGGCATCTCCTTTTAAGTATTCAATTCATATGGGAGATGCCCCTTGTCGAATTCATTCATTCTGTGTACACCAGGAGTTCGTTCCCAAGGCCTGTTTGACAGCTTGAGTTATAAGTAGCCATATTTTGACAGACGTAAAACTCAATTTCAGCTTTTAAGGCTTCCCGATAATGAAGTGGACATGGTTGAGTACAACTTCACCTACAGCAACCACAATGTCAAATTAACATCTTTTGAAAATTATAGAGCTCCGTCTCTACATTAATGGTTATGCCTCCCTAGGTGACCTTCGGACCTTTTCTAAAGATCTCTTTCCCTGATGTTATTCGAAGAAATGCGTATCCATTCATTCTATTCTATAGCAACTGGCGGGGCAGAATCCAATTACGTATTGAAACCATTCCCAGTTGTAAAGGTTACGCGTCAGTTATGAAGTGGTTATACAATGCTAGTTATCTCTACACCATTAGAAGTGTAGGCACTGATAGGGCTTTTGTATATGATATGCAGGATTCTTTTTTATACCAGTCAGGTGTGCGAACAATGATTATTTTATAACGTGCCCGTCAACAGTAATCCCGGACATGTTGCCTTCTTCTTTTAAAGCTCCTGTCCATTGACTCCCATGATCACTTGCTTTTCGCATGTCGCATGCCCTGACATATATTATATAAAATAGCAACATACGCTGTTAGAACTGAGAAATGTATTTTACGAGTAATTCCATTGATATATACAATCAGAATATCTTAAAACAAAAAAAAATATATCCAGAACAAATGTGGTTTCTTTTTTCTTCGAAGTATTTAACTCGAAAAACCTTTTAAATTTCAAGAATGCACCCCCCCCGAAAACACAATGACGCGAACTTTATGTATTCACAACAAAATTATCTGCGCAAGGAAATTTTCATCTTTAGATTACTTACAGTACGGCGCAGAACTTACCCAGTTTCCTCATTCTGGAGTTAATTTAAAAAAATCCACTTACAAAAGCGAAATTTACACAATAGAGAAAGTGGTAGCATTTAAAAGATGAAGAATTTATAGTAGCAAAAAATTAAAAAATAAAAAATAGAAATAAATAGAAAGTATACGTAGGACAAGGAAAACGGTTTATTTGCTAACTTCTTATGTATATACGGTTTAAGTTTTTGTTGCCGTTAGATTATTACTCGCTTCCGTAACTGTAAACGGTTTTATTCCTCATGGAGTGTAGTGCGTGACGGATATTATGAGAAAGTTACGCCGGAAAAATTAAAAATACAAGAGCAAGGGCATTTAACATTTAATAAATAAATTTAACATCTCTATATAATAGAATTTGGAAATATGCAACCGGCAAAAACCAGCAACAATGAAAACACAAATAAAGTGAAATAAATAAATATCTTTATTATATGTGGCTTATGTGTCTGTTTGTCGCCGATCTTGCGTAACATTACTAGCCTAATCGGAGTTAAGTTGCAACGGCACAGGGTTGCCGTTTCAAAAGAGACGTAGTCAATTTCCTGTACAAGTTGCTTTGCTAGGATCATCAATAAGTCTCACGTCCAATCAATTGGCATTTTTTTACTTGAGGCTGGGTTTGGACAGGGTCAACTTTATGCTGCCTGTTCAAGAGTTCGTGAAAGAGCGGACGTGAAATTAAAAATAATTGATGGTTCTCTTGAAGGCAAGCTTAAAAATGATGGAAAGATCTACGTAAGAAATGTTGTGCACAAAGAGACCTTTGACATGTTAATTAACATTTTATTATTTAAATCACCTTTACTTATTGAGTTAGAGGTGGCTCTTAATAGATGTACTGCCAGCGGTTTCCTTCATTGTACTGTACTTTAAGCAAGTAGAAGGGGTAACCCCGTGGGCCAGCAAGCAAAATGGCGCACTCGGTAATTCTGTTTGAAATAGCAGACGCCTTTGGACAAATAATTTTATTACAATTTAGAATATCGAGAACAGCGGTCATTTCCTATGACCGCCGGGCTTTCTAGTACAAGTTTAGCAGTTTCACATATTTGTAAGTACGCAGTATTCCTATCAGAAAGCCATTAGCTGGAATACTGTATACTTTTATATATTCGTAACTGGTGTACTAGATTTTCCGAACATATTCTCTGTTCCAGATAAGATTCTACCTTGATACGGAATGATGAAATTGAATAGTTTTAGTGACTTAATTCTGTAGTCATAATCTGATAATTACGAAATATACGACAATTTTAAGGAAGTATAACTGGCAAATCTCTTTGGCGTTTCCACTGACTTATTTTCAAGTATAACCTCAACACCTGTCTTCATTGCTGTGCTAGAAAAATATGTCGAAATCCAGTATCTTTTTCGACAATATCTGCAACATCGCGAATGTTGCATAGCATTCACACAGGTCTACTGTTAGAAGAGATACATCTGCCTAACATAAAGTAATATTGACGTTAACAGCATTTTTCAAAAGGTTAAATATCCAGAACACATAAAAATGTTAGCGAAATCGTATACGATCTTCTTACGAACAAAAGTTTAACACTAGAATAATTTCACTTGCTAGATAAATATATATTTCTTTTAGGTATATACCAGCTTCGGTAAAATTCTTTCAAATCCCAAGAGTTTCAAGAATTATTTTGGAAAAATAATTCTTTAACACTGCCCTCTATCGAATGTATTCAGTTGTCTTTTGTTTGGTGCATATTTAAAACAACTGTGCTTATTGGAAGAATAGTTTTATCAGAAGACAACTAATATTGAGAAACCCATTATAAATGAGCGCATTGTGCTTCGAAACTGCTGTTTGGGATACTAAGTAAAAGAAAGTAAGTAAATAACGTCTCCTCGTAAAAGCAAAAATGTAAACTAATGCATATACATCAATTCATATTGACGCCTAATGCAATAATAGTTCCCGAGGCCATTACAGCTTTAGAAAATGCCAGAAGCTTTTATTTCTGTCCTAAGATAGAAATTAGGTAATTCCTTTTAATCATTATGAATAAAATAGATACCTTTCCCGCCTTTCTCCGGTGTAGTTTCTTCTGTGGATTCACCTGGCGTACCTGCGTGAAACAATATTTATTTCAAATATATTTACAACCTAAAAATAAACTAAGCTTGGAAATGCTCTTAGGTAGCTTAAGACAACATTCTTGGTGTTAATTACGAATGTTTTCTCCCATGTGAGGGCTAACGGGAATTCAAATTATAATTTAAAATGGAAGCCTCATCAACTCTTTCTACTGTGCATTCATCATATTTCATAGTTCATTTCGAAATTTGATCTGGTTTTAAGCACCCATACATAAAGAAATATTTTCAGAATTTCCTAAAATTTATAATTAGTTTGAAACCGTAAAGAGAGCCGAAATGCTTAAATATGTTTATATAATATCCAAAACTTGAGATTCGTCATCAGATAATAGGATTTAATACCACACTGAGGACTTTGTCTGTTATAACAAAATAATTTAATGGCAGAATCGTTTTTCCTTTTATTTCAATTTCCATATCAGTAAGAAGTTAATCTAGCTTTTCGAATTGGTTAACATAAGTTTAACCGTAATGTAGTTTCAATCTTGTTATACTTTAATATAAAAGATGTTTAAATGCAATACTTAAAGCAATGCAGAGGATAGCCAAATATATAAACATGCATTTTAAATACTGCTAAATATCATTTACTTAAAAATATGTTAACTTCCTACTAAATGCAGCTTCTGTCGAAAATTTTCCAACTAAAATTGTTTTGTTTTTGCATACGAGAAATTAAGAAACATCATTCCAAAGATTATATTTATAAAACAGATAAATTTGCATAAGAAAATTTCTTATCGCTATCTGCACTGGTGTGCAGAGGGTTAGTCATTTTTCCCATTTTGGCCGTACTTCAGCAAACTAAGCAAGTCTGTGACATCAAATTCACTCTACAGCGCACAATAGGGTACATAAAATTCGAGTTACACAAACTCAAAAAATTAATACTGTGGCTATAGAACAGAGCGAATAGAAAAATGCGTGACTGAAGGATAAACTAAAACGCCTTAGGTATGTAAATAGCCTACTTTAATTGCAATAAATTTGTTGCAGGGTCTCTTGATACTGACTACAAAATAATATAACCGTTCATAGCGTAACAGTTTCGGTTTTCGTAGGCTAAGATCATGATGTCATTCATCTTCTTTTAAGTATTCAACACATATGACGGATGCACACTGGCGAATTCAATCTGTTTTTACCTGTACTTCTCAAGGTCTGCTTGACACCATGGGTTTGGAATATTTATATGTATGCAGTACTCCTATGAGACGGCCGCTGGTTGAAATAGTATATACTTTTGAAATATTCGAAAACGTTGAACTGTATTTACCAAGCATATTCTCTTTTACTGATAAGAATCTAGTTTGATACGAAATAAAAAAAATGTATATTTTTAGTGATTTAATTCTGCAGTCATAATCTGATAATTACGAACAAACGACAACAATTTTAAGGAGGTATAATTAGCAAATCTCTTTGGCGTTTTCACTGGCTTATTTTCTATTATAACCTAAACAACTGTCGTTATTGGTGTACTAGACAAATATATCAAAATCCAATATATTTTTCGGGAACATGTCCAACAGCGCGAAGTGTTGCATTTGTACCACACAGATCTACTGTTAGAAGAGATACATCGGCCTACCATAAAGTAATATTGATATTAGCAAGCATTTCAAGAAATCTTAAGTATCCAGAATACATAAAAATGTTAGCGAAATCGGAAACAATCTTCTTACGAACAAAATTTCACTTGCAAGATAAATATATATTTCTATTATGTATATACCAAATGCGGTAAAATTCTTTCAATTCCCATGAGTTTAGTTCTTTTGGAAAATCAATTATTAAAACTGCCTTCTACTTAATGTTTTAAGACCTGCTGTCTCGTGCATATTTAAAACAACTGGATTTATTGGAAACATTTTTTTATCAGAAGAGAACTAACATTTTTAAACACAAGATAAAGAAACTAATTTTCCTTCGAATTTCCTTCGAACCTCATTTTTAGGACTATAAATAGAAGTAAGTATGTATCTAACATCTCCTCTTAAAGAAAAAACGGAAACTAATGTATATACATCTAATCATATATGACACCTAAATAAAATAATAGTCCATGATGACATTATTTTCTATCATAAGGCATAAACTACATAATTAATTGTAAGAATTATGAATAAAATAGCTAACGTCTTCGATTTCGTCGCATGTATATTCTTCTGTGGATTTACCTGGCGTACCTGCGTGAAACATCATTTATTTCAAATGTATTTTCAACCTAAACTCTAAACGACGCTAGGAAATGTTTTCAGCTAGAACAGCTGCTTGAAGAAACATATTCTGTGTTAGGTAAGTAATATTTTCTCCCTTATGAGGGCTAAACGGAATACAAATTAAATTATAAAAAATAATTTTCTAATGTACATTCATCATATTCCATATTTCATTGTCAAATTTGATCAGATTTTTCGTACTCATATATAAACAAATATTTTCAGAATTTTGTTAATTTTATGAATATTCTTAAATAGAGCCGAAGTGCTTAAATATGTTTATATAATATCCCGAATTTGAGTTTTGTCATCAAATAACATGATAATCAGGAATTTGTATGTAATAACAAAATGACTTAATGTCAGATACATTTTTTCTTTTATTTAAAATTCATTATCGGTAAGGAGTTGATCTAGTTCTTCTAATTGCTTAAAATAAGTTTAACCTTAATGTAGTTTAATTGTTATACTTAAATAAAAAAAAGGAAGTTTAAATGCAATATTTGAAGGAATGCAGTGGGTAGCAAAATATATAAACATGCATTTTAAGTACTGCTTAATATCATTTTCTTAAAATTATGTTGATATATAGTCGTTCAGGGAGATCTTGACACTTTTAAAGAAGTTCCTTAGTAGAGTGGTCTGCAACCTGGTGTCGCAGATGGACTGCATTGGAATAACCTAAGAGTGTAGTGCGTTATGTGAATCGAAATTGTAGTGAAGTCAGAGATTGGTCAAGAAAATAAACATTAATAATCTGTCAGGTAAGTTCTCCATAGTTTACAATGTATAATGTTTGGCTTTGATAAAAATGATAAATGTGGACGATGGTTTCGATTTTTGCGATTTCCAAATGACTGGCTAGTTAGAGCAGGTACTGAGGAACATGGATTTCTACGCAAAATTTTGTATAGCCAGTCAAAGGTGGGGTTCTGCCATCTTTCATTAAAATGTGTAACTCGGGGAGATTTCGACAGTAGTTTACGGGGAGATCTCGACAGTCGAGTTCTCCCCGTAACCAAAGCAGGATATGACTGGGTATATTCTTTATTAGAAAGACACCCTGTTGTGTCAATAAGAAAATCACAAGGCTTGTCTTATGCACGTTTGACTGTTTCAATAGAGACGAAGCACGAAAATATTTTTTTTTTTAAGTTTACGGAAAATGTATGATGCGTTGAACCTGTGGGAAAAACCGGCAAACATTTTGAATGCTAATGAAACTGGACTGCAGCTTTTTTTCAAACAAGGAAAGGGATTTCTTGCACAGGCCAAAAAGGTTGCGAATAACGCCACGACAGGAGAAAGGGGGTCTACTGTTACTGCATGGTTTCAGCAGTTCAACAGGAAGTGCCATCCCCCCTTTGTCATAATGAAGTGCGTTAGGCAAAAACCGTCTTATGACGAAGGTTTACAAAATAGGTGAACGTTAGAGACGTCAGGCTCTAGATACATGACAAGCGAAGTCTTCAACACATTTCTTGATCATTTGAACAAACACAAACCACAAGGAAACATTTTACTCATTATAGGTGGACAGACTTCTCGCTGCCGTGATCCGGATACACTGTACAAAGCGTCAATGTTCGGATTTAAGATGCTATGCCTTCCTCCAGATAGCACTCAGAAATGTCAATCCCTTGATGTTTCATATTTAAAGAGCCCGAAACATTTTTAAAATGAGGCGTGCAGGATATTTGTTCACCTCCATCCATGAAAGGGGATCACCAAAAGACGACTTCGTAGAAATAATAAGGCATGCTTGGGATAAATCTTCTACATCAGGCAACTTTTGCAATGGCTTTCGAAAATGGTGAATGTAGCCATACAGTCTCGATATTTTGGAAGACAATGTGTTTGAATAGGAACTCATGTCTTTAAGGAATGGCACCATTCCTCTTATGGTTGACTAAGACGGAAACCTCCAGAAGTCATCATCTCCATCTGCTACATCATTTTCGGAATTATCCCCTGTACCAGTAATACAGAACTACACTCTACGGAATAGGAGAAAAATTAAGAATCACCTATTATAACATCAGAATACAGGAGTCAACTGCGCAGTAAAACACCAACAGAGGCACCTAGAAGTCACGGAGCATCTCAACTCAGTACCTCGAGGGATCTCGAAGACAGTGAAAATTACTGTGGCGAGGGGCGGTGGGTAATATTTTGATGATACTGCCGGACAGCAGTGGATGAAGTGTGTTGGACAGTGTAATACGTGGTTCCATGAGTGGTGTGTAGAAAATCGGAATCAACCCCAGTTTACAAGCAACAGATGTACATAGTTAAAAGGGAGGATATATATTGTTGCATTTTTAGTATGTGGTTAGTCCGTCAATCTATCGTTTCCACAGCGAGTTGTCCTTATTTCTTAAAAACAAGCCATTGTTGTGGATTGTACCTGCACCCCGTAGATACCTGTCGAGATCTCCCGCAGTTAAGGGAGAAGTGAACATCTGGCTTTTATGTTTTTATTGCATTTATATCAGCTAAGATGTTTCTCTGGTAAGCCAAATTTTCATAATGTGTTACTAATCCAGGAAAAAATATTTGCTGGAAAAATAAATGATAAAATCCTTAAATGTTAACTAGTTATTTATAATTTTCCCTTAAGGTGACGAGATGTAACTGTACGACCTTATTCAGCATTTCTTAAATGCAGATTTTGTCAAAAGGTTTCAAAATAAAAAAAATTTTATTGCATACGAGAAACTAATATACATCATATGAAAACTTATATTTATAATACAGAAAAATTTGCATAAGAAGAATATTTCTATTTTTATCTGCACTGGCGTGCAGGGAGTAACTCATTTTTCCCTATTCCGTCGTTCTTCAGCAAACAAGCAAATAGGAGACAGGAAACTCACACTACAGCTCCATGATATAGTGTATAACACTATGAAGTTATAAAAAATTAAAAATTAATTCTGTGGTTACAACACAGAGCGAATAGAAAAATGCCTGATTGAAGGATATACTAAAAAGCCTTAACTATGGAAATAGCCTTCTTTAAATGCAATGAATTCGTTGCAGCGTCTGTTGGTACAGACTACAAAGTCATATAATCGTTCATAGCGTAACAGTTTCGATTTTCGTAGAAGCATCTCTTCATGTAGCCCGGGTGAGATGTCGGAAGGCTAAGATCGTGATGACAGGCATCTCCTTTTAAGTATTCAACATATACAAGGGGTGATCAAATGAAAAGGTACGAAATGACACGGTGGGTACAAATGTAGACTTTATTCAAAATATGCACCGTAGGCCTGAGCACAACGATCCCACTAATGAACAAGCTGCGGGATTCCTTGTTCCCAGAATTCCTGTGGCCGTGACGAGACCCAGTCATTCACAGCGCCTTGAGTACGTCGTCCGAGATGAAGCGCTTCATTTTCAGGTGTTTATTCAGTGGATCAAACACATGGAAATCGCAGGATACATGTCCGGATGTAGGGCGGATGGTCCAACATCTCCCACTTGAACTTGGCCAGTTCCATGTGTGTGACTCTGAAGACGTGTGAACGCGCGTTATCATGGAGCAGAACCACACCCTCCGTGAGCAGCCCCGGTCTTTTGTTCTTGATGGACCTGTGTAGGCGTCGGAGTGTCTCACAGTACACATCGGAGTTAATGGTTTTTCTGTGCTCGAGGAATTCCACAAGTAGCGGATCTTGAACGTCGAAAAAGACGACGAGCAACACCTTGCCTGCGGACGGCACGGCTTTGAACGTTTTAGGGGGAGGTGACGAAGTATGCCTCTACTGCTCATAGTCTCTGGCTCGTAGTGCTGGCACCAGGTCTCATCACCTGTGACGATCCGCTCCACGAAAGCGGGGCCCACGAGCGGCCGAGCGGTAAAGTCACTGAACACTGGTAGTGTCGACAGTCCGAGTTCGAATCCTGCGAACGGGCTGCCTGCATGGGGTTTTCGTGGTTTTCCCCATGTGTAACATGTATACGAGCCAGTTTCCCTTAGAAAGTCCTCCACAAGGCATCCCTCCCGCAGAAGCCCTAGTGTGCTTTGACCTGATACCGAAACAGATGTTGCAGTGCTAGCCCCATGCGCAGTTCTTTATGCTGGTCGGTGAGCTGCTTCGGAAACCAAGCGGCACACACCTTCCGATATCGCAATCTCACGTGAACAATTGCCCACACGACTCCATAGCTGACATCCACCTTCACCGCCAACATTCGCAATGTGACAAGCCGATCACTTCTCACAAGGTCGGCCACCTTGTCGATGAGATCGCTCGTGATGACAGTGTTTTTCGGCCTGATCTCGGGTCATCACCCACACTCTCACTGCCTGCACAAAATCGGGTACTTCATTTCCTGTCAGACGTATCAGAGACACATTTCTCCCCGTAAATTGTCACCATCCGGAGATGAATAGCTGCCGGTGTTTCAACTTCCGCTGTCAGAAATCGAATAACACTTCGCTGCTCCTCAGTCGGCGAATTTTGCAACTCTAACGCCAACCTATCCTCATACGGACTGCCGCCTCATTTGGACGCCGCTTTTGATAAGAGCCTCTGCTCTTTCCTGCGCATGCTCCGATCCCAGTCAGAGACTCCAACCGTATCCCGAGATGTCTCGCTACGTTCTCCCATGGCAGAATACGCAAATATTTAACTGTTACGTTCCCACGTCGTTTCGTACCTTTTCACTTGATCAACCCTTTTATGACAGATGCACACTGGCGAATTCAATCTGTTTTTACCTGTACTTCTCAAGGCGTGGTTGACACCATGGGTTTGGAATATTTATAAGTATGCAGTACTCCTATCAGAACGCCGCTGGTTGGAATAATATATATTTTTGAAATACTCGAAAAAAGTTCACAATATTTACGGAACATATTCTCTGTTCCAAATAAGATTTTAGTTTGATACGGAATGAGGAAATTTATATTTTTAGTGATTTAATTTTGTAGTCATAATCTGAGAATTACGAGCAAACGACGACCATTTTAAGGAGGTATAATTGGCGAATCTCTTTGGCGTTTTCACTGGCTTATTTTCTATTATAACCTAAACACCTGTCGTTATTGCTGTACTAGACAAATATATGAAAATCAAATAACATTTTCGAGAACATCTGCAACAGCGCGAAGTGCTGCATTGCTACCACACACGTCTACTCTTAGAAGAGATACATCTGCCAAACATAAAGTAATATTGACGTTAACAGCATTTCTCAAAAGCTTAAATATCCAGAACACATATGAACGTCAGCGAAATCGGAAACGATCTTCTTATGAACAAAAATTTACCACGAGAAAAATTTCACTTGCAAGATAAATACATATTTCAATTAGGTATACTACAAATATGGTAAAATTTTTTCAATTTTCAAGAGATTTATTCTTTTGGAAAAGCAATTCTTTAGCACTGACTTCTAACGAGTGTACTAAGACCTGTTGTCTCGAGCATATTTAAAACAACTGCATTTATTGGAAATGCAGTTTTATCAGAAAAGAACAAACATTGTTAAACCCAAGATAAAGAAAGTAATTTTTCTTCGAACCTGATTTATAGGACTCTAAATAGAAGTAAGTATGCATCTATCGTCTTCTCTTTAACTCTTTCGCATCGAGAGACGACCAAATCTGTTTTCAACAAACATCGAAATGCCCGTGTTTACGAATTTGTCTTGGAATAGTTTTCCTTTCCCCCTTTTGCGGTTTCATCCGTTCATCTATTGTGCGCAGTTTCACCTTAGGGCCAATTGCACCTGCGAACGTCAATAGCTTTCCGTATTTCTCCTTTATTTGCTTCAAATGAATGATTGACATGTCTTTTAACAACTCGCGAAACCAATGAGCCATACACTAACGTGGAGAGGAAAGAACTAGGTAGAAAATAAACGAGGCGTTCGGGCGGTTTGCCGTTGCCTGAATGAACGGGCGCTATGGGCTATTTCGATGCGAAAGAGTTAAAGGAAAAACCGTGAAATAATACATTTATTCATATATGACGCCTAAATGTACTAACAGACCTTAATGCCATTACCACTTTAGAAAATACCAGATCTTTAATTCCTATCAAATACATAAACTAGGTAATTATTTTTAAGAATTATGAATAAAATAAATACCTTCCTCAGTTTCTTCGCACGTATGATCTTCTGTGGGTTCACCTGGCGTACCTGCGTGAAGAAATATTTATTTTAAATGTATTAAAAACCAAAAAAAAAAAAAAAAAGAACTAAGGTAGAAAATGCTCTCAGCTAGTACATAAGCTTAATGAAACATTCTTGGTATTAAGTAAACTATATTTTCTCCCTTGTGAGGGCTAAAGGAAATTCAAAATAAATTTTAAATGGAAGCGCTATCAACTGTTTCTACTGTACATTCCTTAGTTCATTCCGAAATTTAATCTGATTTTAAGCACCCATATATAAGCAAATATTTTCGGAATTTTCTAAAATTTGTATTTAGTTTCAAGTTGCAAACAGAGCCCAAATGCTTAAATATGTTTATATAATACTCAGAATTTGAGATTCGTCGTCAAATAATATGATTCAATACCACATTCAGGATTTTGTCTGTAATAAAAAAATGATTTAATGGCAGAGTCTTTTCTCTTCTATTTAAATTTCCATATCAGTAAGGAGTTGATCTAGCTCTTCGAATTGGTTAACATAAGTTTAACACTAACGTAGTTTCATTGATATACTTTAATAAAAAATTGGTTAAATGCGATATTTGAAGGAATGCAGCGGGTAGCCAAAAGTATAAGCATATATTTTGAGTACTGCTAAATATCAGTTACTTAAAATTATGTTTATATATTAAGCATTTCTTAAACTTAGGTTTTGACGAAAGGTTTCTAACTGAAATCGTTTTGTGTTTTGCATACGAGAAATTAAGTAACATCATATGAAAATTTATATTTGTAAAACAGATAAATTTTGCATGAGAAGGATACTTCTTATCGTTATCTGCACTGGTTTACAGGGGGTAAGTCGTGTTTCCCATTTTGGCCGTATTTCAGCAAACAAGCAAGTCGGAGACATGAAATTCATACTACAGCGGCTCAATATATTACCTGAAATCATGACGTTATACAAACTCTAAAAATTAAAACCGTGACTACAGCACAGAGCGAATAGAAAAATGCCTGATTTAAGAATAAAAAAAAAGGTCTTGATATGGAAATAGCCTCCTCTAACTGCAATGAATTTGTTGCACCGTGTGTTGATACTGACTACAAAATCCTCTAACCGTTAATAGGATAACATTTTCGATTTTCGAAGAAGCATCTCTTCCAGATGCCCGGGTGAGTTTTCGGGAGGCTAAGATCATGATGACAGGCATCTCCTTTTAAGTAATACTTTTTTTTTAATTTTATCCCTCATATATAAGGGTTGCACGCTGGCGAGTTCATTCTGTCTATACCTTTTTTCCCAAGGCCTGTTTGACAGCATGAGTTACATGTAGAAATATTTTGACAGACGTAAATATTGCTACCATTTCAAAAGATCTCTTGCCCTGATGTTATTCAAAGAAATGCCTGTCCATACGTATATCTATAGCAATTGGCGGGCAGAATCCAGTTACGCATTGAAACCATTCCCAGTTGTAAAGAATATGCGTCAGCTATGAAAAGGTGTCCATTGATTGTTATCTCTGCACCATTAGAAGTGTAGGCACTGTATACGATCCGCATGATTGCTCTTTATACCATTCAGTGAAGGGAACATGATTATTCGTAAGGTGTCCCGCAACAGTAATCCGTGACATATATCGCCCGATCTCCCTCGTTACTGATGACCTATATTGTCCGCTTTGCGATATCGATACGTAATCAGCAGCATGAAATGATACTTTTTATCAGTTTGTATGGCGATATACCGATTGGTTTCCATTAGCGTCCACCAACCAGCATTGTTGCAGCTGCACATACCATTTAGGACTTCCAAATTCGAGAAATCAAATATTTATATATTCCACACATTCCGGAAACTTTTACATCTCCTGGATCAACATTCTTCCTTCCCCAAGATATACAATCATCGTTCTGGGGGGAGCAAATCTAATCTTATATTCCCCTATAGCCATAGTTCAGGTACAATCTCGCTTTTACTTGGAGAAGAATGGCTAGAAAAGCAAGTTGCCTTCTTCTTTTAACTCTTTCGCATCGAGAGACTACCAAATCTGTTTTCAACAAACATCGAAAACGCCCGTGTTTACGAATTTGTCTTGGAATAGTTTTCCTTTCCCCCTTTTGCGGTTTCATCCGTTCATCTGTTGTGCGCAGTTTCACCTTAGGGCCAGATTGCACCTGCGAACGTCAATAGCTTTCCGTATTTCTCCTTTATTTGCTTCAAATGAATGATTGACATGTCTTTTAACAACTCGCGAAACCAATGAGCCGTACACTAACGTGGAGGGGAAAGAACTAGGTAGAAAATAAACGAGGCGTTCGGGCGGTTTGCCGTTGCCTGAATGAACGGGCGCTATGGGCTATTTTGATGCGAAAGAGTTAAAGCTCCTATCCAATGATAGCCTCGACTTCTTGCTTTTCGCATGCCTGACATATACTACATAAAATAGCAACGTAAGCCATTAGAACTGATAAATGTATTCTACGATTAATTCCATTGATATATAGAATCATAATATCTTAAAAGAAAAATATCCAGAGCAAATGTGGTCGTAGTATTTAACTGGAAAATCAATTTCATTTTCAACAATTCAACCCCCGCCCAGAAAAAAAAATCATGCTAACTTTAATTTATTCACAAGAAAATAATCTGCACAAGAACACTTTCATCTTTAGGTTACTAATAGTAGTGTGCAGAACTTTCCAGTTTCCATATTTTGGCCTTAATTCGAAAAAATTCACTTAGAAAATCCAAATTTACACTACAAAGAAAGTGGTAGCATTTAAGAGATGAAGAATGTATAGTTGCAAAAAGAAATATATAGAAAGTATACGGAAGGCAAGGAAAACGCTTTCTCTGATAACTTTACAAGTACAGCAGTTTCGAATATTTATAAGTATGCAGTATTCCTATCGGAACGCCGCTGGTTGGAATACTGTATACTTTCAAATATTCGAAACTGGTGTACTATATCTGCAGAACACATTCTCTGTTCAAGATAAGATTCTATTTTGATACGAAATGAGGAAATGGATATTTTTAGTGATTTAATTCTGTAGTCATAATCTGAAAATTACGAACATACGACGACAATTTTAAGGGGTCTAATTCGAAAACCTCTTTGGCGATTTTACTGGTGTATTTTTTAGTATAACCTAAATACGTGCCTTTATTGTTATGCTAGAAAAAAATACCGATATCCAATATTTGTTTCGAGAACATGTGCAAGGAGCTCGAAATGTTACATTGTTACCACACAGGTCTATTGCTAGCAGAGATACATGTCCCTAACATAAAGTAATATTCATGTTAAAATAATTTCTCAAACGTTTAAATATCCAAAACACATAAAGAGGTTAGCGAAGTCGGATACGAACTTATTACGAACAAAAATTTACCACGAGAGAAATTTCTCTTGCTAGATAAATATATATTTCTATTATGTACATAACATCTGTGATAAAATTATTTCAATGCCCAAGAAAAACACTGCTTTAACACTGCCATTTAACGAATGTATTAAAAAATGTTGTCTCGAGCATATTTAAAACAAATTGGTTTATTGGAAAAATTATTTTATCAGAAGAGAACTAACATTGTGAAGTCAAAGATAAAGATAAATGATCGCATTTATTTATAACCTGAATTTTAGGACTCGAAATAGATCTAAGTAAGTAAGTAACATCTCCTCTTTCAAGAAAAAAACGTAAACTAATATAAATCTGTTCATATCTATATACATCTATATTCATGTATGAAGCCTCAATACAATAAGAGTCCATGATGCCTTTACCACTTTAGAAGGTACCAGAGTTTTTAATTCCTATTATAAGACATAAACTAGGTAATTACTAAGAATTATGAATAAAATAGATACCTTCGTCGGTTTCGTCGCATGTATGTTCTTCTGTGGGTTCACCTGCGAGAAACAATATTTATTTCAAATAATCCTATTTATGTATATAACATACGTATTATAAACAATATTTATGTATATAAAATCTGCCGTAAAATTCTTTCAATGCTCAAGAGTTTCAATAATTCTTTTGAAAAACACTGCTTTAACACTACCTTTTAACGAATGTATTAAGACATGTTGTCTCGAGCATATTTAAAACAAATTGGTTTATTGGAAAAATTATTTTATCAGAAGAGAACTAACATTGTTAAACCCAAGATAAAGAAACTAATTTTTTCTTCGAACCTGATTCTTAGGAGTCTAATTAGAAGTAACTATGTATCCTCACGTCTCCTCTTATAGGAAAAGCCGTAAAATAATACATCTATTCTATATGACGCTTCAATGCAATATAGACTCATAATGCCATTACCACCGCTTCAGAAAATACTAGAGTTTTAATTCCTATTATAAGACAAAAACTAGGTAATTACTAAGAATTATGAATAAAATAGATACCTTCGTCGGTTTCGTCGCATGTATGTTCTTCTGTGGGTTCACCTGCGAGAAACAATATTTATTTAAAATAAACGTATTTATGTATATAACATATTATAAACAATATTTATGTATATAACATCTGCGGTGAAATTCTTTCAATGCCCAAGAGATTCAATAATTCTTTTGGAAAAACACTGCTTTAACACTACCTTTTAACGAATGTATTAAGACATGTTGTCTCGAGCATATTTAAAAGAAATTGGTTTATTCGAAAAAATATTTTATCAGAAGAGAAATAACATTGTTGAACCCAAGATAAAGAAACTAATTTTTCTTCGAACCTGATTTTTAGGAGTCTAATTAGAAGTAACTATGTATCTCACGTCTGCTCTTATAGAAAAAGCCGTAAAATAATACATCTATTCATATATGACGCTTAAATGCAATAATAGACCATAATGCCATTACCACTTCAGAAAATACTAGAGTTTTAATTCCTGTTATAAGACATAAACTAGGTAATTACTAAGAATTATGAATAAAATAGATACCTTCGTCGGTTTCGTCGCATGTATGTTCTGTGGGTTTGTAAGGATCTTAAGTTTTACTAACGTTTATTTTATTTTAAATCTTTACTATCACTTCTTATTTTCTACTTCCGGCCAGAATTATAAGCGTTAAGGATTTTATGCAAATTTGTCTGGCGAACGCCAAGTATTTAAGTGTGGGCCTTTTTGCCAAGAGAGAGAGAGGAAGCAGTGAGTTCGAAGCAGGCCGCTTACCTTAGAAGTTACGCAGTTGCTATTTGCCTTCCAGGCCAGAGGTTTTAATCCTCTTGATAAATTAAACGTATTGTAGTGTTCACAGTCTCTGTGCTACATACGCTTCCTGTTATTATAAGGCCAATCTTACACTTGTATTATTATTCAAAGTTAAATTAGAGTTTAGTTTTATTTTATATCTTTTACGTTAGACCCCGAGGGGGAGGGTCATTGTATTCCGAAGTACGGAAGTCATTGTATATAAAGAAAAAATAAAGGGTTTTGTATACCCTTCGTCTGTATCCTGTCTACTTACACAATTAGTGAACATAGCTTTAGTAAGCTCTCTGTTCCGAGTCAGGTCATTGTATGTTTCCGAAGAAGGTTAGAAGAAACATTGAACCTGATAGTGGCGCCCGACGAAGAATAACCATGGCCGAGTTTCAAGAAGAACCTGTGCTGCCTGCAGAAACGGCTCAGAATCCAGAAATGCCAGCTGCCGCCCTGGAAGGATTTGGGTACATCGTCCAGACCATGCGCGCTTCGATGAAACCAGAAGCAACGTTTAATGGAAACTCACAGGTAACCAGTTTTTTTGGAAAAATTGGATGACCACTTCATGCTCTACCCCGTGCACGAGTTTCAAAAAGTTACCTTAGCTACCAGCGCTTTGAGGGGCCAAGCGCTTAACTGGTTCAAATGTATCGGCAGAAGTCTCTTGGGTCAAGCAGGAAGTCCCACCTATACTTACGAAAATTTCAAGACTGCCCTACTAAAAGCCTTCCCCCTGTTGTAAGGGATCGTGCGAAATTAGAAACAGAACTTTTCAGTATATATCAACAAAGAATCGAAAACCTCTCGAAGCTTTATTTTAAGAAAAATTCACGTTTTTCAAGCTCTTGTATGGAAACCGTCCGGATCCTGAAATAATTCAAGTGATTTTGCCGAGGTTACTACCCCAAGTGCACAAGACTTTATTGAATTAACGAAATCCGACTACACTGGAAAAGTTATTTGAGCTAGCAATCCAGTTTTGAAAGTAGAAGAACGGCGGACGTCGAAAGAAGACGCCAATATCAACAGCGAAACCAATTTGGTACGCCAAGACTACAGCAAACTCAAGCACACGGCTACGGGGAAAAAGCGAATCAGTGGGCAAGGAAACCCGAGCATTCAAAAACAAGCCGGCGAACGTCGACAGTTCAATAGCAACCCAGGAAAAAAGTCTCAAGGCCAGTGGAGAAAGAAGGAAAAGCACGGAAAGGAAAAATAATTTAAACTAAAACGGATTTCTGCTGACGAGAGGGTGCGGAAATCCGAAGGCCACGAAAACCCCTCTTCCTACAAGTTAAATACAGTAATGGTGAAAAATTTAACTCTTCCGAAGATTGAAGTCTTGGTGAATAATATCCCAGCCACCGCACTCCTGGATACAGGCGCGCAGTGTTCCTGTGTGGCAGAAGTCTTTTTTAGAAAGTATTTTCGCAAATACCGCATATATAATGCGGATAATACGACAGTATTAGCTGCGCAAGGAGAACAATGTAAGTGCGTAGGTAAAGTACCTTTGTACGTCCGTATCAAGGACGAACAAGTAAAGGTTATGTTTTTTATAGTAAAGAATTCTGCAAGCACATTTAATCCTTAGGAATAGATGTTCTTTCAGAGGCACGAAGCAACGCTGGATTTTAATGAAGCGTCCCTTAAGCTGACGATGAAACCAGTGCGTGAAAGTAAAAAGGTTGAACCGCCCTACAGGTTAAATCTTGACCACCTGCCTAATGACGAGCAAGAAAAGAATTCCGACAAGTGGTAAGTGAATTTTGCTTCCTTATTTAGTGATATTCCAGGATTTACGGAAGGTTACTAACCATAGTATTGATACCGGAGATTCATTGCCAGTTCGCCACAAGCCATACCGGTATGATAAGAATAAGGAAAAAATTATAGAATGGCATATTACCGATATGCTACGTAAAAAGATCATAACGCCCATCTCAAGTAGTTATGCTAGTCCGGTGGTTTTATGTAAGAAAAATAATGACATTATCCTTTGAGCATCCAAAAAGGTGGCGATTCGCTATTGATTACCGTAAATTAAATTCCATAACGAAATATCCGGTATATCCGTTACCGATTATAGAAGAAATTTTAAGGAACATAAAATCAACCAAATTTATGACGACTTTAGACTTAACGAATGGTTATTTTCAAATAGGGGTTCAGGCCTGAGGACGTGCCTAAGACTGCTTTTATAACCAAGTCTGGCACTTATGCATTTTTGCGTATGCCGTTTGGCCTTTCAGGCGCCCCAGCAACATTTCAGCGATGCATGGACATTGTGTTAAGCCTGTTCTTGGAAAGTCCACATTTATCTATTTAGACGATATCATTATTACTAGTGATAATCTCGACCAACATGTACAGGATTTAAGACAGGTGTTTTCTTTATTAAATGAGGCCGGTCTAAAAGTTAATGTCGAAAAAGTGCAAATTTGCAGCCCCTGAATTAAAATATTAGGTTACAAAATATCGCAAAAAGGGATCGAGACAGACGAATCAAAAATAATCGCTGTACAAAAGTATCCGACTCCAAACACGGCAAAGAAGCTCTCTTCTTTTCTAGGACTTTGTTCATATTATAGGTCCTTTATAAAAGATTTTGCGGCTATCGCTGAAGCCATTGTTAAAATTAAAAAGGAAAAAGGCAAGATTCTCGTGGACGGCCGAAGCCAATAGTGCTTTCGAAAAATTAAACAAGCATTAACGCAAGCCCCTGTGTTGAAATTTCCTGAAAAGGATGAAAATTTAGAAATTTCAGCGGATGCTTCGGATTATGCGGTAGGAGCGGTACTTTTCGCAAAATCAGCAGCCCGTGGCATTTTTTAGTAGCCGAACTTTAAATCAAACACACAAGAAACTATTCCGCGACCGAGAGAGAGGCACTTGCAGTTCTGTTAGCAGTGCAAAAGTTCCGAGTCTATTTTGGAAAGGCGCCGATAACAGTATATTCTGATCATGCGGCGGTAACTAGATTGTACTCAGGGAAAAATTTATCCCCAAGGTTAATAAGATGGGCACTCAAGCTGCAAGAATATAATCTGGTAATCAAGCATACCCCCGGAAAGGAAAATATCGTAGCAGATGCCCTATCACGAATTAAAATTAGACGAACAGGGTAATACCGTAAAGGTTGGCAATGCTTACAGCATGTACAATAAATTCCCGAGAATTATAAAAGATAACCGAACTGAGTAAGGATCCTGAGTTTGGAAGTATTTATGAGTATTTGAAGGATCCTGAAAATTTTAGCCACCAAGATATTGTGGCGATAAGAAATAGGGCGGCCCATTACGAACTAATAGATGGTCTATTATTTTATACAAAAACTACGAATTCCAACAACGAATTTCGACCTGTTATCCCAGCTAGTCTTAGATTAAATATCCTGCAAGAGCTCCATGACAGCCCTTTAGCTTCTCATGCTGGTATTCGAAAAACTATCCAACGCGTACGCGAGGCAGTCTACTTTCCTGAACTGCAAAAGTTAACAAGGGCGTATGTCCAGTCCTGCCCAACATGTCAAGAAGCCGTTAATTATATTAATTTCCGCCCGGCCGGGTTTCTAAATAGTATTAAATCCGAATTTCCAAATGAAATAATCGGCATCGATTTATTGGGCCCTTTCCCAAAAAGTCAGTTAAATAAAAGTCGCTATCTCCTTGTTATGGTTGATCATTTTAGTAAATGGACCGAAATTGTTCCCTTAAAACGAGCCTCCGCGAAATTAGTTACTGATTCTATATTTAAATAAATATATTTTAAAATACGGGGCGCCCCTAAAAGTTATATCGGATAATGGTCCTCAATTTGTAAGTAATATATTTGAAGACATGTGCCAAAAACTGGGCATACGTCATTTAAAAATGGTCCCGTATCGGCCGCAATCAAATATAGCGGAACGGGTCAACAGAAATATAGTGAAAATTATCCGTAGTTATGTTAAAAATTTTCATAAAAGCTGGGATAACTATGTCAATGAATTTGCTTTCGCCCTTAGGACCGCAAAACATGATACAACAACGGGCAAAAACTCCTGCTGAGTTATTTTCTAGGCAGAAAGATTATAACGCCGTTAGATAAACTATTTTATGTTGCAACAAAGAGCCCCAGAATTTAAAATGGGTGATATAGAAAAACTAATTAAAGAAGCAAAAAGAATACGGAAGTAGCACAAAGAAAACAAGAAGCTTATTACGACTATGATGTGAAACGACGGGGAGTAAACTTATAAAGTAGGGGATGAAGTTGTTAAAAATTAAGCATTCACTTTCTTCAGCACCAGAAGATAAAACTGCCAAATTTTTTCCACGATTTGAAGGACCATATGTCATAGAAAAAATAACTCACGCTGTTGTAGTGTTAAAAGCCAAGAAATGGTGAAACCTGTTCCGCAAATATTGATCAAATAAAACCCTACTATCGATCGTAATAAAATGCAAATCTTTTCAGATCTTTTGCAGGATCCGGTACGGCAGACACCGCAGGTACAAGTTCCAGAGGTGGGAAAAACGACAAGTACAAGGGCAAGCCAATGAGAGACAGAAGCAAGTGAAAAGAAAATTGCCCCCGCGGAAAAACTGAAGGTAAAAGAAAAAGAAGCCGTTCCACCGTCCAGAAAAGAGAGTTCACGAACACCCCCAGAATGAAGAAGGGAGAAGGACGACGTATGTGGAAAGGACCGGGAGAAAAAGGACGGCAACTATAACCCGGCTGTGAAACGGAAGATTGACTCATCCGACAGGAACTCTCCGCAGCAAAAGTCGCCGAACTGCGGAAGGGCCATCAGCGGCGGAGGAAAAAGTACAAGAAAAATTTGAACGGCCAACAACGAGGTCCAAGCAGGATCACGAGAGAGAAGTTTCCCGGTTCCACCAAGACCAGCTGCCATCAAACGGCCAAGACCACAAGCAGAGGCGGAAAAGGAAGGATGTTCAAGGGTGGCCGAACTGGTGAAAACGGAAGCTTCCAGAGGAAAGAACTGAAGGGCGAGCCCGTACAAGAAGGAGGATAAACCAAAGCTACTGAATCTTCGCAGTACCTTTCCAGGACTGGGCCCAGAAAAGGATGTCCTGAATATCACAAAGATAAGTAAAAATTTTTATGTTACTTTGCAAACTTAAGTTAATCTTTCATTCTTACTGCAAGTGGCAGATTTCAAGAAGTTTTACCTCATGCGAGGTCTACCTTTATCGCCAAAAGGGCGAGAAATGAGTTGTGACCGATTTTCTTATTATGTTTTCAATTACTCGCGCGTAAAACTAAAGTTGATGTATAATAGCGTTGTGTAAAGACTTAAATATTGTAAAAAGTTATTGTATAAATTTTATTTAAAACATTCTAGCAAGAGAGAAGTTTTAGTCTGAAAGACTTTTTGAAATGTAGTATTATTTCAATGTAGAAAGAATTGGCACTTGCTTTGAAAAGAATAGAAGTTAACAATGTACTACTAATGTATGTTTTAAAATGCGTAAAATTAACGGCATGTTGATATGTTCTTATATACATGTGAACTGTTATTTTAAATGTTAAGAAATACCGTGATATGGTAAAAGTGAAAGTAATGTTAAAAAATTGCTATTCGTGTGACTGTAAAGATTAAATCATGGTGAATATATGTTAAAGGTTGAATGATGTAGTTAGGCTCTCTGACGCTACACTTTAGAGTTAGCCACTTTTAGAATAGTACCTCAGGGTTTAGAGTTGAAAGTAGGGTGTGTTAAGAGGTCTCGTATGTTGAATTTTAACACGTTAGTGTTTTGATTGTAGGAGGAAGTGTGGCACACGTAGACAGAAACACATTCGTGTTTGGTGATCTTTTACAACACATGTCAGAGAGCACGGGGAGAGATAATTAAAATAGTCATGAATGAAATAAGAATGTTAAGAGAAGTATAATTCTATATGTTATTTGCCAATGTCATTCTGTAACATTTCATTAAACTAGTTTTCCTTCCAGATCTCTGGAAGGAACCAGAATTGAATAAAGCTCCTGTTTTAGAGATGCAGTACAGATGAAAAAAAAAAAAAGATTGTTGTATATACCGGGAGCTGCTATTTTAACAAATTTCTTTCTTTTAAATTTTCTAGTTTCTAGCTAAATTATGATTGTAAAAGGTTGTCCTCGCGTTAGTTTCTAGAGCTAAAAGTTTTCAACAAGGTCGTTTTAGACCTCAGTTTCAAACTAATTAACTCTGGCGGGAAGTATGTAAGGATCTTAAGTTTTACTAACGTTTATTTTATTTTAAATCTTTACTATCACTTCTTATTTTCTACTTCCGGCCAGAATTATAAGCGTTAAGGATTTTATGCAAAGTTTGTCTGGCGAACGCCAAGTATTTAAGTGTGGCCTTTTTGCCAAGAGAGGGAGAGGAAGCAGTGAGTTCGAAGCAGGCCGCTTACCTTAGAAGTTACGCAGTTGCTTTTGCCTTCCAGGCCAGAGGTTTTAATCCTCTTGATAAATTAAACGTATTGTAGTGTTCACAGTCTCTGTGCTACATACGCTTCCTGTTATTATAAGGCCAATCTTACACGTGTATTATTCTAAAGTTAAATTTGAGTTTAGTTTTATTTTAATATCTTTTACGTTAGACCCCGAGTGGAGGGTCATTGTATTCCGAAGTACGGAAGTCATTGTATATAAAGAAAAATAAAGGGTTTTGTATACCCTTCGTCTGTATCCTGTCTACTTACTACAATTAGTGAACATAGCTTTAGTAAGCTCTCTGTTCTAGTCAGGTCATTGTATGTTTCCGAAGAAGGTTAGAAGAAACATTGAACCTGATAGGTTCACCTGGGAGAAACAATATTTATTTCAAATAAACGTATTTATGTATATAACATATTATAAACAATATTTATGTATATAAAATCTGCCGTAAAATTCTTTCAATGCTCAAAAGTTTCAATAATTCTTTTGGAAAAACACGCTTTAACACTACCTTTTAACGAATGTAGTAAGACATGTTGTCTCGAGCATATTTAAAACAAATTGGTTTATTGGAAAAATTATTTTATCAGAAGAGAAGTAACATAGTTGAACCCAAGATAAAGAAACTAATTTTTTCTTCCAACCTGATTTTTAGGAGTCTTATTAGAAGTAACTATGTATCTCACGTCTCCTCTTATAGGAAAAGCCGTAAAATAATACATCTATTCATATATGACGCTTAAATGCAATAATAGACCATAATGCCATTACCACTTCAGAAAATACTAGAGTTTTAATTCCTATTATAAGACATAAACTAGGTAATTACTAAGAATTATGAATAAAATAGATACCTTCGTCGGTTTCGTCGCATGTATGTTCTTCTGTGGGTTCACCTAAGAGAAACAATATTTATTTCAAATAAACATATTTTTGTATATAACATATTATAAACAATATTTATGTATATATCATTTGCGGTGAAATTCTTTCAATGCCCAACAGGTTGAATAATTCTTTTAGGAAAACAACTTTAACACTGCCTTTTAACGAATGTATTAAGACATGTTGTCTCGAGCATATTTAAAACAAATTGGTTTCTTGGAAACATTATTTTATCAGAAGAGAACAAACATTGTTAAACAAGGGATAAAGAAACTAATTTTTCTTCGAACCTGGTTTTTAGGAATCTAATTAGAAGTAAATATGTATCTAACGTCTCCTATTTAATGATTAGCCGTAAAATAATACATCTATTCATATATTACGCTTAAATGCAATAATAGACCATGATGCCATTGCCACTTTAGAAAATACCAGAGTTTTTAATTCCTATTATAACACATAAACTAGGTAATTACTAAGAATTATGAATAAAATAGATACCTTCGTCGGTTTCGTCACATGTATGTTCTTCTGTGGATTCGCCTATCGTACCTGCGTGAAACATAATTTATTTCAAATATATTTTTAACTTAAAACTAAACTACGCTAGGAAATGCTTTCAGTTAGTACATCAGCTTAAAGCAACATACTTGGTGTTATGTAACTAATATTTTCTCCCTTATGAGGGCTAAAGGGAATTCAAATTAAGAGGAAGAGGAATGCTCAGTAAAGGAATTGTGTTGCTCCATGACAATGCTCGGCTCCATACTGCTGGTGTCACTCAATCGTTAATTCGACTTATCAAGCCTTATCAACTCTTTCTACTATACATTGATCATATTGCATAGGTTATTCTCAAATTTGATCTGATTTTAAGCACCCATATATAATTAAGACACAATAACATACCGAACAAATACTAATTCAGAAGTCAAACAACGAAATTCAACGTTATATTTTCAAATTCACCCATATATAAGCTAATATTTTCAGAATTTCTTAAAATTTATAAAAGGTTTGAAGTAGAGAATAGAGCTGAAATGCTTAAATATGTTTATATAATACTCAGAATTTGAGTTTCGTAATCACATAATATGATTCAATACCAATTCAGGACTTTGTCTGTAATGCAAATATTATTTAAGGTCAGAATCTTTTTTTTTCTTTTATTTAAATTTCCATATCAGTAAGGAGTTGGCCTAGGTCTTCGAATTGCTTAATGAAAGTTTAACCTTAATGTAGTTTCATTGTTATACTTTAATGAAAAAAATGTTTAAATGCAATATTTGAAGGAATGCAGAGAATAGAAAAATATATAAACTTGCATTTTATTACTGCTAAATATCATTTATTTAAAATTATATTTATATATTCAGCATTTCCTAAATGCAGGTTTTGTCGAAATGTTTCAAACTAAAAATCTAAAATCGTTTTTTTATTGCATAAGAAACATCATATGAAGGAGTATGTTTAGACTAGAAATCCCGGCGGTCATACGAAATGACCGCTGTTTTAGATATTCTAAATTGTAATTAAAATGATTTGTGCAAAGGCGTCTGCTAGTTCAATCTGAATGACCCAAGGCACGCGGCGAGGACGCCCCTTTTCTTACTGCCCCACGGGGTTTTCCCCTTGCTTAATTGCTCAAAGTAGAGTGCGATGAAGGAAACCACTGGCGGTACATTTCTTAAGAGCCACCCCTAGCTAGCTTTATAAATAAAGGTGATTTATATAATAAAATGTTAATTCACATATCAAAGATCTCTTTGTGAAAAACATTTCTTGCGTAAATTTTTCCATCAGTTTTAAGCTCGCCTTGCAGAGGTTCTTCTATTATTTTTAATTTTACGTCCGTTCTTTCACGAACTCTTGAACAGGCAACAGAAAGTTGAGCGTGCCCAAATGCAGGCTCAGGTAAAAAAATGCCAACACTCTTAAGCGTTTGGCCCTGACAATTTTTCGAGTTTTCTCGAAAAGGACAACATCCTTGGATTCTGCCAAGTGGAAATTTTACTAATTTATTAATTAAGAATGCTCATGAAAAGGTCTTCTATTTTAGTATTACATGCACCTTAGCTCATCTGAGGGAAAAATATTTCATAATTAAATGCAGAATATATGTTAAATGAGTGTGAAAAATTTGCATCATTTGTAAAAGGATCAGTGCATCTCCTAGAAAACAAGATATTGCTCCATTAACGAGGGATAGAATAATTGAATCCCCTCGTTTTCTGACCTGTTCTGTGGACTTTGCCGGTCCCATTTATTTCAAAAAAAGAAAAAAAAAGGCTCAGAAAAGGCATACATCGTGTTATTCACTTGTACTGTCACAAGAGCTGTTCATCTCGAAGTAGCAAATAAATTGAGCACTGAAACTTTTATATTATCCCTTAAACGACTCATATCCTGAAGAGGACTATGTAAAACAATTTATAGTGACAATGCCTTCATAAAGGCCGATTGTTTTTTTAACTCTTTCGCATCGAGAGACGACCAAATCTGTTTTCAACAAACATCGAAAACGCCCGTGTTTACGAATTTGTCTTGGAATAGTTTTCCTTTCCCCCTTTTGCGGTTTCATCCATTCATCCATTGTGCGCAGTTTCACCTTAGGGCCGGATTGCACCTGCGAACGTCAAAAGAATGATTCAAAAGAATGTTTGACATGTCTTTTAACAACTCGCGAAACCAATGAGCCATACACTAACGTGGAGTTTCCCCTCCACGTTACAACTAGGTAGAAAATAAACGAGGCATTCGGGCGGTTTGCCGTTGCCTGAATGAACGGGCGCTACGGGCGATTTCGATGCGAAAGAGTTAAAAGAAGTTTCGAGCCGAATTTCTCAACCTGATATTCAGCAGTATTTCAGAGAAATTGGTATCACGTGGAAATTTATTATTCCTAGAACTAGTTGGTGAAGCGGGTTTTGGGAAAGCATGGTACGTTCTGTAAAAACCAGTTTTAACTCTTTCGCATCGAAATAGCCCGTAGCGCCCATTCATTCAGGCAACGGCAAACCGCCCGAACGCCTCGTTTATTTTCTACCTAGTTCTTTCCCCTCCACGTTAGTGTATGGCTCATTGGTTTCGCGAGTTGTTAAAAGACATGTCAATCATTCTTTTGAAGCAAATAAAGGAGAAATACGGAAAGCTATTGACGTTCGCAGGTGCAATCCGGCCCTAAGGTGAAACTGCGCACAATGGATGAATGGATGAAACCGCAAAAGGGGGAAAGGAAAACTATTCCAAGACAAATTCGTAAACACGGGCGTTTTCGATGTTTGTTGGAAACAGATTTGGTCGTCTCTCGATGCGAAAGAGTTAAGAAAGTTCTCCGTAGATCATGCCTCACCTATGAAGAAATTCAAACCACGATGACCGAAATTGAAGCTGTCATCAACAGTCGTCCTCTGACTTAGCTTCATGAAGATAACAACTAACCTCTTCCGATTCCATCTCATTTTCTTATTGGTAAGCGTTTAAATTTCTTGCCAGGTGTCAACTATTCAGCTGAACCGAAATCAAACAAAACTGTTGAAATACAGACAACAAGTCATCACTCATTTCTGGAAAAGTTGGCGTAACCAGTATTTACTTGGACTTCGCTCTCTCAATTTATCCCCTCGCACTAACATTCTTTCTATATTCAAAACTGCTGATGTAGTGTTGATTCATAAATGTGGTTTCTTCGATGTATTTAACTCGAAAAACATTTTCAGTTTCAAGAATTTACATTCCCCGAAAAAATGACGCAAACATTCACAACAAAAATATCTGCGCAAGAAAACTTTCAACCTTAGGTTACTTACAGTAGTGTGCAAAACTTTTCCAGTTTCCTTTAATTCGAAAACATCCATTTACAAAATCGAAACTTACAATGCACAGAACTTATTAGCATTTAAAACATGAATAATTTATTGTAGCAAAAAGAAATAATTAGAAAGTATACGGAAGGCAAGAAAACGTTTTCTTTGCTGACTTCTTATATATATGCGGCTTAAGTGTTTGTTTCTCGCCGATAATTTATTGGTTGCTTGCGTAACTGTACTTGCCAATGGGATGAAGTTGCAACGGCACAGTGTTGCCGTTTCAATTGAGACGTAGACAATTTCCTGTAGAACTTGCCTTTGCTATGACCATCAAGAAGTCTTAGGGATAAACCCTTGGCATTTTTTTACATCTGCAATTGGACAAGATCAACGTTATGTTTCCTGTTCAAGAGTTCGTGAAAGAACGGACATAAAATTAAAAATAATTTATGGTCCTCTGCAAGGCGAGCTTAAAAAAGATGCAAAACCTACGCAAGAAATGTGCACAAACAGAGCTCAGACATGTGAATTAAAATTTTATTATTTAAATCACATTTATTTATTGAGCTAGCAGTGGCTCTTAATAAATGTACCGCCAGTGGATACCTTCACTGCACTCTACTTTAAGCAATTAAGCAAGTAAAAGGGGTACACCCGGTGGGTAAGTAAGCATAGGGGCTTCCTCGCCGGATGGCCTGGGTAATTCTGTTTGAGTTAGCACACAACTTTGAACAAATCTTTTCAATTACAATTTGAAATATCTAGAACAGCGGTCATTTCGTGTGACTGCCGGGCATATATAGCAGTACAAATATAGCAGTCCCAAATATTTATAAGTTTGCAGTATTCCTATCAGAACGCCGCTGGCTGGAATACTGTATACTTTTAAATATTCGAAACTGGTGTACTATATTTTTTCGAACATATTCTCTGTTCGAGATAAGATTCTACTTTGACACGGAATGAGGAAATGGATATTTTTAATGACTTAATTCTGCAACCATAATCTGATAATTACGAACACATTTTTAAGGACCTATAATTGCGAAATTTCTTTGGCGTTATCACTGGCTTTTTTCCAGTATTATCTGAACACTTCTCTTTATTGCTGAGCTAGAAAAATATAATCGAAATCCAATATTTTCTTCGAGAACAAGTGCAAGTAGCGCGAAGTGTAGCCTTGATAGAAGTCACTTGCTAGCAGAGACACATCTCCCTAACATAAATTAATATTGACGTTAACAGCATTTCTCAAAAGTCTAAATATCCAGAAGACATCCAAATGTTTGCGAGATTGGAAACGAACAAAAATTTATTAGGAGAAAAATTTCACTTGCACAATTAATATATATTTCTATTATGCAATTCTATTATTTCTATTATTTCTATTAACAATTGCAGTAAAATTCTTTCAATTCCCAAGAGTTTCAATAATTCTTTTGGAAAAACAGTTCTTCAACACTGCCTTCTAACGAATGTATTATGTTGTCTGTTGTCTGGTGCATATTTAAAACAACAAAGCTTAATGGGAAAGTAATTTTATGAGGTGAGAACTAACATTGTGAAGCCCAAAATAAATGATCGCATTTTTCATCGGACCTGATGTTTGGGACACTAAATAGAAATACGTATGCACGTAACATCCCCTCTTAAACGCAAAAATGTTAACTAATGTATATGCATCAATTCATATATAACGCCTAAATGCAATAATAGTCACTGATGCTATTTCAAGTTTAGAAAATGCCAGGATTTTTCGTTTCTGTCACAAGACATAAACTAGGTAATTATTTGTAATAATTATAAATAATATAGATACCTTTCCCACTTTTCTCTGGTGTAGTTTCTTCTGTGGATTCACCTGGCGTACCTGCGAGAAACAATATTTATTTCAAATGTATTTACAACCTAAAACTAAACTAAGCTAGCAAATGCTCTCAGCTAGTACAGCAGCTTAATGCAACATTCTTGGTGTTAAGTAAACAATATTTTCTCCCTAAAGGGAATTCAAACTAAAATTTAAAAGGAAGCTCTATCAAGTCTTTCTACTGTACATTCATCGTATTCTATAATTCATTCCGAAATTTGATCTGATTTTAAGCATCCATATATAAGCAAATATTTTCAGAATTTCCTAAAATTTATAATTCGTTTGAAGTCGGAAATAGAGCCCAAATGCTTAAATATGTTTATTTCATACACAGAATTTGAAATTCTTCACAAAAAATATAATTTAATACTACATTCAGGACTTTGTAAGAATAAAATGATTAAATGGCAGAATCTTTTTTTCTTTTATTTAAATTTCCATATCAGTGAGGAGTTGATCTAGCTCTTCCAATTGGTTAACATAAGTTTAAACATTAATGTAGCTTATTGATATTCTTTAATAAAATAATTGTTTAAATTGAATATTTGAAGGAATGCAGCGGGTAGCCAAATATATAAACATATATTTCAAGTACTGCTACATATCATTTACTTGAAATTATGCTTATATATTGAGCATTTCCTACATGCAGCTTTTGTCGTAAAGTTTCAAACTAAAATCGTTTTTTTAACTCCATAAAAAGCGGTAGCGAAATATATAAACATATATTTCAAATACTGCCAAATATCATTTACTTAAAATTATGCTTATACATTGAGCATTTCTTAAATGCAGCTTTTGTCGTAAAGTTTCAAACTAAAATCGTTTTTTTTCACTCCATAAGAGAAATTAAGAAACATCATGCCGAAGATTATATTCATAAAACAGATACATTTGCATATGAAGAATATTTCTTATCGTTATCTACACTGGTGTGGAAGGGTAAGTCATTTTTCCTATTTTGTTTGTACTTCAGCAAACAAGCTGAACGGACATGAAATTCCTACTACAGCAACACAATATAGTATCTGACATGTTATACAAAATCAAAAAATTATTACTGTGGCTACACAAATATACAAATATACCGAGCGAATAGAAAAATGCCTACTTGAAGGATAAACTTAAAAGTCTTAGCTATGGAAATAGCGTCATTTTATTGCAATGCATTCGTCGCAGAGTCTCTTGAAATTGACTACAAAATCATAACACTTTATATCGTAACATTTTCGAATTTGTAGAAGCATCTCTTCAAGTTGCCCGGGTAAGTTGTCGGGAGGCTAAGATCATGATCATAGAGGTCTTCCTTTAAGTATTCAAAATATATCAGGAATACAAACTGGCGAATATTAATATGTTTATACCTGTACTTCATCTCAAGGCCTGTTTGACACCATGAGTTTCGAATATTTATAAGTATGCAGTGTTCCTATCAAACCTCCGGTGGTTGGAATAATGTATAATTTGGAATATTCGAAAAAGGTGCACTATATTTACCGAACGTAATCTCTGTTCCAAATAAGATTCTAGTTGTATACTGTATGAGGAAATGTATATTTTTAGTGATTTAATTCTGTAGTCATAATCTGATAATTACGAACATAGACGACAATTTGAAAGAGGTACAACTGGCAAATCCCTATCGCGTTTTCACTGGCTTATTTTCTAGTATACCCTAAACACTTGTCTTTGTTGTTGTGCTAGAAAAAAATTACAAAATACAATATTTCCTTCGAGAACATGTGCAACAGCGCGAAGTGTTACATTGCTACCACACAGGTCTATTCTTAGAAGAGATACATGTGCATAACATAAAGTAATATTGAGGTTAACAGCATTTCTCAGAAGCTTAGATATACAGTACACATAAAAAGTTAGCGAAATCGGAAACGATCTTCTTACGAACAAAAATTTAACTTGCAAGATAAATATATTTATCTGTTATGAATATACCAAATGTGGTAAAATTCGTTCAATTCCCAAGAGTTTAATTCTTTTGGAAAAGGAATTTTTTAACACTTCCTTCTATTGAATATATTAAGACTTGTTTTTTCGTGCATATTCAAAACATTGAAAAACATTGAAAACATTGAAATTGATGGATTCATTTATTGAAAAAAATATCAGAACAGAACTATCATTATGAAGTTTAAGATAAATGAGCGCATTTTTTTCGAACCTGACATTTAGGTCTGTTAATAGATGTAAGTATGTATCTGTCGTCTCCTTCTAAAGAAAAAACAGTAAACTAATGTATATATGTTACCGTGAAAGACCGAAATTGGAGAATGTCAACTTTCACCGGAGAATGTCAACATTCACCAAAGACGTCGGTGAAAGATCGAATATTGCATTAATTTCTTGTACATTAGGACCCACACCGATGTATATCGACAATCACAGATACACTCTGGTGTAGGTCGAAAAGAGAGGAGTATATGTACATGCTTTTCAATGCAAAAGGAAGTGTTCCACACATAAATGCAGTTGTAAAAGCAAGGGCCACTTGTGCAATTCAAAGTGTCATAATAGTTTAAGTTGTTGCAATAAATAAGATTTGAATCACATAATTTAGTAAGTTTTTAACTTCTATTATTTTCCTTTCTCCATTTGAATATACTGTGTGTATTAAGTTCCTATGCTCTTAAGTTATTTTAAGTCTCAAGTGCGTTTTTCGGGACTGAATTACGGAGACGAAAATATGATATTCTTATATGTTCAACACTCACCATTAGTACATGGTGAATGTCGACATTTACCGGTGTAAGTCAGAAATATGAGTATTTGGAAAATATTTCAGACATACACCAAGCGACTATGTGAATGTCGACATTCTCCAAATTTCGGTGCTTCACCGTAACATATACATCTAATTCATAAATGACGCCTAAATACAATAATAGTCCCTGATGTCATTACCATTTTAGAAAATAGCAGAGTTTTTAATTCCTATCATAAAACATAAACTAGGCAATTATTTGTAATAATTATAATTAAAATAGCTACCTTCCTCGGTTTCGTCGCATGTATGTTCTTCTGTGGGTTCAACTGGCGTACCTGCATGAAACATAATTTATTTCAAATGTATTTTCAACCTGAAAACTAAACTACGCTACGAAATTCTTTCAGCAAGTACAGAAGCTCAAAGCAACATACTTGGTGTTATGTAATTAATAATTTCTCCCTTATGAGGACTAAATGGAATTTAAATGAAATTACAAAAAAGAAGCCATATCAACTCTTTCTACTCTATTATTCATCATATTCCATAGTTCATTCTCAAATGTGGATCTGATTTTAAATACCCATATATAAGCAAATATTTTCAGAATTTTCTAAAATTTATAATATTTTGAAGTTGTAAATAGAGCCCAAATGCTTAAATATATTTATATAATACCCAGAATTTGAGATTTGTCATCAAATAATATGATTCAATACCACATTCAGGACTTTGTCTTTAGTAGGAAAAGTGATTAATGTCGGAATCTTTTTTTTTCTTTTATTTAAATTTCTATATTGGTAAGGAATTGATCTAGCTCTTCGAATTGCTTAACATAAGTTTAAAATTAATGTTGTTTTATTGTTATAATTTAATTAAAAAGATGTTTAAATGCAATATTTGAAGGAGTACAGCGGGTAGCAAAATATATAAAACATGTATTTTAAATACTGCTAAATATCAGTTTCTTAAAATTATGTTACTTAAAATTCATCATTTCTTAAATGCAGGTTTTGTCGAAAAGTTTTAATCTAAAACCCTGCTGAAACTCGCTCATAGAAACCAGTAAAACCTTTTATAGGTTTCTTTTGAATTTTACTAGTTTATGTTGGTCTCTTTTGGTTTTTCGTACTGGTTTCAAAATGTCCCATAAAAAGCAGTAAAACTTTCTCCTGGTACCTATACAATTTTTGTTGGTCTGTACTGAATTTTGCTGGTTTCTGTTGATCTGTGTGGGTTTTTCTTACTGGTATCTATTGGCACCCATACAACGAACATCAATGTGAGAACTTTTTACTGTTTTGTACTGGTTTATATTGACTTTTACTGGTTTTCTTACTGTTATCAATATAATTATAAATCTTCTGTTGGTTTATATGTGTTTACGCTATTTTTCTATGTGACGTTAATAGTTTTCTTGTAAACAATAAAATTAATAGAATGAAAATATGATCTCTTTAAGACCATCAGAGTTATCTGGAAATGCAGCTGGTTGTTTTAGAGAGTGTTTTATTAAATATGCTTATTTATTCGATTTTTAAAAATGTTTTTGTCGGGAATAATAACAGTAATCATATACACCTCACACAACGAGGTCTCTCTAAGGCGACCAGCCCAAAAATGCATCTTTGCAAGTGATCGCATTAGAGAGGTGTTGCTCAATATCAATATATACACATGTTCTCAGAATTAAGTTTATTGTCGTCTTACAGTGGGAAAGTTCAATACCAATATATACTTATGTTTTCACAAATACTGGTCTCTTTCAGAGGCGGTCTTCTTAGGAAGGTGTTTTTTGCCATGAGTTGGTTCTATGTCTACACACACATACGCACTTACATTTCTGATATTAGAAATAAAACCGGTATCACCATCATGTCTTTAACGCGACCACGTTCATTCACAATCGCAAAACTATTTTTCGCCGTATGCATAAAAGATAAAACTACTCCTCCAAAGTGTGCGAATTGCCTTATGGAAGGACACACAGCAAACTAGAGAGGATGTGAAAGATTTCCTAAGACGAAATCTTTCTCTCAACCGAAACCATTCACAGATCGAGTCATCACAAACAAATCATACGCTGAAGCCTTAATCTCTGGATTAGCCCCTGAATCTCTCATGGAAACTAAAAAAGTGCTTTGTGACTTACGGTCCGTCGTTTCCATCATTCAGGAATCTGGAATAACTCAAATCTTCAAGCAATTAACTACTGATAAAGCTTCACTTCCTGACAAAACCCAGTAACATGGATAAAACTACCAGAACTGTGAATCCCATCCGTTTCGTCATCTGGAATGCCAATGGCCTCCAGAACCGTTTATATGAACTTCATAATTTTCTACAGCTACAGTATCATGATATTGATATTGCTGTGATTACCGAAACTCATGCGCAACAGTGTCACCGTCTCAGGATTGCAAATTATTTACTTTACAGGTGTGATAGAATTAGTCACCGTGGTGGAGGTGTTTGTATATACGTTAAACGCACGTTACAATCATGTTTAATTAAGGAAAGCAGAGACTTTAACTGTGAACTAGTTACAGTTTGTGTGACGCTACCAGTTTTTAAAAATATTTATTTCAGTGCTCTATACAACCCGCCTAATAACAGGCTTAGTGATAACTTATTAAATGCTTTTTTGCCAAGTGATATCCCGACCGTCCTTGCAGGGGACTTAAATGCAAAGAATACTGCATGGAACTGTCGACGATCCAATGCAAATGGCAAAATTTTATATAATTACATACTTAATAATCCTATTGTAATTCATGCACCGAATGATTATACTTATCGTCCAGATAGACTCGAGTACTCTGATATATTAGACATCGCTTTGTCTACCACTACTATTCCTATTACTACTGAAGTACTTCAAGAACTTTCATCTGACCACCTGCCCGTTATTGCTTATCTGGGAATTACTAGAACTGAAGCTCGTACTCTTAACACAATTACTGACTGGTCTCTTTTTGAAAATCTTATGAGTGATCGTATTATTCCTCTCTATAACCTCAATACAGTGCAAGGAATTGAAAATGCGGTTTCTGCACTTACTGAAAATATTAAAAGTGCTATTGCAGAAGCAAGTGACACTAAACCACTTAAAGATAATAGCCTTCGACTCCCTAATTACATTCGCATCAAGATTAGACAACAGCAACAGAATGAGAAAATCCTATCACGTGACTGGGCTGGGACCCACGAATGAAACGCGAAATCAATAAACTTAATAAAGAAATTCAGAAAGACATAAAAAATTATAGAGAAGAATTATGGTGCGAGAAATTAATTAATATTGACACTAGAGATGGGTCATTATGGACAATAATTAAGAATCTTAAATCTCACTATACTACAAATCGCCCTCTTACCCATAATGGAGCTCTCGCAGTCACTCATCAGGATAAAGCAAATGTGTTTGCGACCTACCTAGAGGAACAATTTACACCCAATGAATGGCCAAATAATAAGGACTTTGAACATAGCACATTGACACATGTCAAAGACTGGTTATATTCTCCCACTGCTAGAAACTTAATTAAACTCACCAACCCAGCTGAGATTAAAGAAATTATCAAGAAACTTCATCCCAGGAAAGCACCGGGAATAGATGGCATCACAAATAAAGCTATGAAATGCCTTCCCAGAAACACTATCGGAATAATAGCAAGTATTTTTAATGCTTGCCTTACATCCTCATACTTCCCCAAATTATGGAAAACTGCTAAGGTCATCTTAATACCAAAACCTGGAAAAAAACCACTCACAAGCTGACGGATACAGGCCCATTAGTTTACTGCCTGTATTAAGTAAAATATTTGAAAGAATTATTCTCAGCCGAATGAAAAATTATCTTCAACTTCTTCCGCCGGAGCAGTTTGGCTTTAGAGAGAAGCTCTCGAGCGCAAAACAACTTCTTCGTATTACGGAGTATTCTGGAGCTGCTTTACATAACAAATTGAATGTTGTTATCCTCATGCTGGACGTAGCGAAAGCTTTCGACCGCGTCTGGCATGAGGGACTCATTGCAAAACTAATCAACCTTAATTTTGAAAGAGAAATTCTTCTGATCATCCTCTCATTTATCTCGGACAGGACTTTTAAAGTGTACGTGAAAGGAGCTTACTCCTCAGAACGTAATATGCAAAGTGGACTACCTCAAGGGTCTTGTTTAGGCCCTGTACTCTATTTATTTTATGCTGCAGACTTCCCTAAACCCAACAGTAACGACTCTAACCTTGCATGGTACGCACATGATACTGCCCTGGCAGTTAAGTCTGAGAACATATTTCGCAGTCTGCGAACTTCGCTATTGAGAAACTACAAGCCTTCATTCCAAGTATCGAGTCATGGTGCGTGAATTGGAAAGTGAAGACTAATGCTCAAAAATCTCAATTATTGATCATTCGCAGAAGGAAAAGAAATAAGCAACTGAAGAATCACCTTCTCCTCTTTAATGAAAGAGTTCCTATAGTGAAAAGTGCCAAATATCTCGCAGTCTCTCTTAATGATCGTCTTACCTGGACTGACCATATCAACAATGTTCGAACCACTGCACTAACAAATTATCAAGTGTTTGCTTCCTATACTCGGTAAATACTCTAGAATGGATTTGGGGGAAGAAAAGACTTGTTTATCTCTCCACAATTAGACCTATTTTGACTTATGCATCTCCTGCCTGGGCGGCAGCCAAAGACTCAGATGTAAACAAACTCCAAATCGTTCAAAATAAACTCCTGCGTATTATCACGAACGCACACTATTATGTCCGCAACAAGACCCTCCATGAGGACCTCAAAATCGATACCATCGCGGTACATCTGCGAAAACTTAACGATAAATTCTTCAAAAATGCGCAGGAATGTAACTTCATGAATCATTTCAACATGTTTCATTATGAAGTTCTCACCGATGATCGATTTCTTCGACCTTTCGCGGCCTACATACTCAGTGGAACGAAAATTTCGCCAACTAATACCAAGTTAGTGGGAATTTTGATCTGTACATAGTGATTTTACTCTTATTTTCTTTTACTTTACTCCAGAATACTGCTTTTCTTCAATATTCAAGAAGTACTAAAAGTCAGCGCCTGGGAGAGTGACCTCCCACGTGACCTAAGAACTTGAGTTCTATGTTCAGCCTTGTTGTAGGACTTTCTGCATTTTTTAGGACTGAAATTTTTGGTATTGCTTATATTTATCATATTGAAGAACATGAGAAAAATAGTGATTTTTCGCTATTGCAACCCATTATTTAATTATTTTACTCTTTTCATCAGTTTTGGACAAGTTTACGCTAAGCGAATCAGAATGCCTGATTCCGCTCACGT